GGCTCACATTATCAACTAATTCATAGTCATTACCAGTACATATCTCTGTAAAAATATCAACATTTGAGCAACCTTTGCTCACATTACACAGTGACTCATTTACATCACAATAATTATCAACAACAATTTTCTCTCCTTCCCCCACCTCAGGGATTACACTCACCTCATCAACTTCACACAAAAAATCAGACACTTTAACTTCAGGACTTACATTATCTGATGGCTCACCATGAGATACAACAAAAATCATGTCCTCAGACATTAGAACAGGGTTCTCTTTGCTTTCAATGCCGCACGTTTCAAGGCAGCCCGTTTCCATAACAACCAATTCATTACATGCTGTGGCGCTGGGACAATACCCTACATACGTCCACCTAAGGTCATTTCCAATTACTTCCACCTTGTTAAATTGTCGTTCCCTTTCTTCTTTACACTGGACTTCCTGGGATACACCAACTACTTCAACCTCGTTTTGACATGAATCTAAAGCTATATCTGTACCCTTTGCCACTGGGGGTATGTCAACACGGTCAACGTTGTCCCTTTTAACGTCAGCTGACGGATCAATTAACAAATCACTGTCATTTCTATTTAAAAAAATTGAGTCGTCAGCAGAGGCAATAATATCATTTTGCTCCTCAGTATATTTAGCCATGAACCGTGGTTGCGAGATCGGCTCTTGCCTGGGGTCAGGATCATGAGTATGTCCACCGTTATCCACATATTTGTTTTCACTTACATTAATAGGAAATCTATTAAAATTTTTATAGGGATTCTCACAGTGAATGCTGGCAATGCCATAATATATTTCTTCCCCTTGACTCTCGTCATCGTCACTGTCGCTATAATAATATGCCTGTCTCTTTAAAATAATGTCCCGTCGTTCTGCCTCCAATTTCGCACGTCTAATTTCTTCATCTAGTTTATTCGGTTTGTATTGTCTCTGACTATATCTGGGTTCGTACTGTCTCTGTCTATCTCGGGGTTCGCACTGTCTCGGTCTGGCTGAATGCTCTACATATCTTGGTCTATCTCTAGGTTCGTACTGACTCTGTCTATCTCTAGGTTCGTATTGACTCTGTCTCTTTAAAATAATTTCCCGTCGTTCTGCCTCTAATTCCGCCAGTCTAATTTTTTCATCTAGTTTATCTAGTTCAA